ATGGTGACCCTATGGATGAGACATCTCCAGGCTCCCCGTCCTCTACTGGTCTATTTAATAAAGTCCATCCATCTAGCATCTAAATGGTATCTTTATGCTATCAGAATGGCACTCTTTTGATCTATTATTTATTTAAAGATTTTTTTATCTGATGGAGTAGAAATTACACTTTGAATGTAGAAGTAAAGCTCTACTAGGAAAGACTTCATTAAAATATAAATATCTCATATATGTTGGATTTGTATTGATAAGTTGTTACCAAAGTCAGAACATTTAAATTGAACTAGATTTACTTGTACTGATTTTTCAAACAGATGAGAAGCAAAACTCTAGTTGTAGTGGTCTCCTTTTAACAACCTCCCCTACCATGTTGCTTTGTAACCTACCAAGTGAAAATTAAAATCTTTCCACATGGGAATAAGCAGACTACATTCTTGTGGGAAAGTAAGTGGTATAGGAAGGTCTATTTTGTTTTAAAAGACAAACAGCCTATCAGTGTTCAAATGACACATTATCTTCCTAAAAACTAGCACTTAATAAATAGGCTTACTGCTAGTTTCAGTAGCTAAGATGTAGAAAGAAATCTTCACACTTCAGAACATGGCTGATGGAGATTATCTGGTTGCTTCTAATTTACAGCCTGCCTTTTTTGCAGACAGCTGTAGGTCTCCCAGAGTTATCTTTGCATTGGGAGTTGGTGACATGAACCAATATGATGACTTTGGAGAGGAGGAGGCATGTGCTTCTTATATACCCATTAGTGTCCCCCTCTGTTTATGTTAAAATTTACACTTAATAGACTGGATTATTACTGTAATTTCAGTGTCAACTTCTCCTCCTCCCTTGTTCCTCCTATTTTATTCTGTTCAGCTAGTGTAGTTCTGTAGGGGATCATGCTGATAATAGTATTCTTCTAAGCTCAGGCCTGTGTGGAAGTCACACAGAAATCTCTTGACTTGGCAAAATATTAGTCCCTTGGCTTAAGCTTTGAAGTAGGGTTCATAAATGCAAATGTTAATATATA